CTGCAGTGTTCTCTGATGTGTATAAAGTAGTCTTACTTGGAGTGGGGGAGGGAAGGACCTGGAGGTTCCAGCATCTAAATTCGTCTCTGGGTCAGGATGACTCAGGGGGAACCTGATAAGGGGCCTACGCAGGGGCGTGGGGCGGGCAGGAGGTGGGAAATTTCCACTGGGATCTGTTTGCTTCCGAGGCCTAGGGGTCTCAGCTCCTGCAGGCAGAAATGAGGCTGGTTCTGCCCTAAGGTAGGGTTCCCTTTGTCAGGGTAGGTCCCAGCCCAGCCATAAGTCGCCCAACCAGGGTAATCTCTAACTCCCTTCTCTTGGGCCAGAAGCAGCTTCAAACTGTACTTTCAGTTAAGCAACAGTTTTGCCAGCCTGCTGTGTGCCAGCCACTGTATAGATGCAATTCAAAGAAGTGTGAAGGGTGGTCATATCCGTTCTAGAAGCATATGATGAAGTAGGTGGGAGAAGGAATAAAGACAGAAAGTTAAGAAAAATGAGGTCTATAGAAGTTTAATTGTTTAGACAAAAAATCCTGTGCCAAGTGTTTCCCATTCTTCTCAAGTGGGAGATGAGAGATTTCCATTCCCGCTTGATGGTTTTAGTATCCCTTGACGGAGACAAACCATGAATTCAACAATACTTTTAAATAAGGTTGTTTTTTTAAGATTTTATTTTTAAGTACCCTCTACACCGAATGTGGGGCTCAAACTACAAAGAACTTACAACCCCAACATCAAGAGTCACATGCGTGCTGCACAGACCAAGCCAGTCAGGCTGCGCCGTTTGTACGGAATTCTAATATTTCTAATACCTATGTATGTAGTAATATGTACATGTGCAAAGCGTGCTATTTATTCAGTTGACAGTATTTTCTGTACATATAAATCCCAGGGTCCCTTGCAATAAATCAGAAATCCTCTCCCCAGGAGACTGCAGCCCACAGACTAAGAACCATTATTTTGCTATAATTCAGAGGAAAAGGTTTTTGTTGTTCTTTCCTAGAGTGTACCACCCATGAGGAGTACAACCACAGGGTATTTGAGTGGGAGAAAGGAACGTTCTATCCAGGAAGAAAGGAGCAAGAGGGAAAGCTTGGGAGAAGAAATACACAAGTTACTCGGAAGAATTGAATAGTAGCTAGTAGGTGCAAGGTACTTCCCATATATCATCCCACAATACTATAAGGTAAGTTTTATTGTTACACAGTACAGGTGAGGAACCACAGCTCAGACATTTCTGAAACAGAAGCTTTAGTGATTTGCCCAAGGCCAACCAACCAGTGCTGTAAATGACAAATCTAGGACTCAAATCCCCACCCAGATTCATCCCACTCCAAGGCTATTCTCTTTCAACCATGAGGTAGCTAGCCTCTAAAGTCATTATGGCCCCCAGATGAAGAATAATATTGATGAGAGGTAGGTGATGTTTGATAAAAGCATGGGCCAAGTGTGAAAGTCCTTGACAGTTTTTTTTTTTGTTTTTTTTTTTTTGTCTTGTCACTGAAGATCCTTAGAGCATTCTTGAGCAGGATTAATGGATAAAAAATAGTTTTGTGGGGGTGCCTGGGTGGCTCAGTCAGTTAAGAGTCTGACTTCAGCTCAGGTCATGATCTCACAGTTTGTGAGTTCAAGTCCCATGTCGGGCTCTGTGCTGACAGCTCAGACTCTGGAGCCTGCTTCAGATTCTGTGTCTCTCTCTCTCTCTCTCTCTGCCCCTCCCCACCTCTCAAAAAATGAACATTAAAAGTTCCTACTGAGGTTGGTGTGTCAGAGCCACTGGGATTCTCCATGTTGGTCACTAACTTGGACTTGAGACTAGAAAGGAGGGCACTGCTGGACTGATGCCAACCTGTTTCCATTAACCCCTTCCCTGGGCTCCTCTCAGCACTGTGGGACAGACCATAAACCAATCTGACCAGGACCCAGAGGACTGGGTCAGGCTGGGGGGAATGATGAGGGAAGTTTGATCAGCTGGAAAGATCAGAAGGGTGGCAACTTGCTCAATGCAAAGTGGGGAAATGAAGGACCCCTCTCCCAAGACTCAGGCTGTAGCTTCAAGCTGATGTCACATAAACACTGCTGAGGTCATAGAAGCTTCCCTCTCCTCCCCTGTTTCCCCATTGCTACATAGTCTCCCCAACCAGCTGGCTCCCACATATCTGCACACACTTATAAACAAAGGCTGAGAAGAGGCAGACACCATCCGGCTACTCTCAGGTGCACAAAAGTGGTGAAGACATAGGTGGTAGTGGTGATTATTCAGTATGTAGGATCCATACTAGTATCCCTGGTGCTGGGAACAGTAGGGGGGATGGAAGCGATGGGGGGAAAGGAAAGAGAAGAACAGGGAGGAGGGACTTTGTTCCTGTTGCTGATTCTTATTTTGTTGACTAACACCCATCCTCATTACTCCTCAGTTGTCCCTTCCCCTCCTCCCTCACCCCCAAGTCTTCCTCCCTGCGGCCCTCCCCCACCTCCAGTTGATCATGGCATCAGAAGCAGGGAAAACGTTCCAGCGGTTTGCTGTCTTTGGAGAATCATCAAGCAGTGGCACTGAAATGAACAATAAGAACTTCTCCAAGCTATGCAAAGACTGTGGCATCATGGATGGCAAGATAGTCACCTCCACTGATGTGGACATCGTATTCAGCAAAGTCAAGTAAGGGGCCAGAGATGGGGGCCAGGCACACAAGGCAGTGGGACCTAGAAAGGTTCATGTGGGAGGACACAATAATGGGTCTACTGAGCACCTGCTGGGTACCTGGTCCTGTGCTGTTCCCTGTCCCAGGACCCTCAGTGTCAAGAGACCAAATCTCAGTCAGGGAAGGGTTGGGCCTTGGAAGGTTATGAATTCATGTTCCAAAGTTCCTGGATTTCTGTCTGACTGACCAGAGCCAAAAATGCCCGAACCATCACATTTCAGCAGTTCCAGGAAGCAATGAAGGAGCTGGGCCAGAAACGATTCAAAGACAAGAAGCCAGATGAAGCTCTGGAGAACATTTATAAACTCATGGAAGGCAAGGATCCAGCTACCACTGGTGTTACTGTGAGTGACATTCTTCATCCCTAACCCTTGACTCTACTTCTCTAAATCCCTGCTGCTCCTATCTCCCTTCCCCCTTCCAATGTCCCTAATCTCTGTCATTAGTAATACTGTAGGGAGACAAGGCAGAAAGTCTCTGGGGCACTGTTGGGATTGGAACAGACTTTAGAGATCATCTAGTAATTTCAGGGATGAAGAGACTGAGGCTGAGAGAAGGGTCCACATCTACTTTAATAATAAAGTTAAGCCTTGTTTCCAAGTGTCCAGTGGGCTCTGGGGGAACACTGAGTGCAAAGGACTTGGTATCTGATCCCCACTCCTCCTCCCACTCTTGTATAAGATGTAATATCTGCCCTCCTGCCTCCCACCCACTGTCTGTTCTCTATTTGTCCCCCTCTGTTTATGTTTATTTAATTTTGAAAGAGAGAGAGAGAGAGTATGATAGGGGAGGGGCACAGAGAGAGGGAGATACAGAATCCAAAGCAGGCTCCAGGCTCTGAGCTCTCAGCACAGAGTCCAATGCAGGGCTCTAACTCACAAACCGGTGAGATCATGACCTGAGCCAAAATAGGATGCTTAATGGACTGAGCCACCCAGGTGCCCCCTGTCCCCTCTCTATTTAAAGCCCCTTCTATTCTAGGTTTCAAATAGGGCCCTCCCACTTGGAGGGACCTTGCATATTGGGTCTGGGGTTGAAGTCCTCTGGCTGCCGCCTGGTCAAAATAGCTCCTCTGGAAGCAGAAAACTCCACACACACCCCATTCATTCCCAGACACCAGACTCCTCCACCCTCGTGAGTGGATGGCTCTTGCCACGTTCCTACCCATGGCTGCATCTGGGCCCTAAAGAAAGCAGCCCCATGCCAACAGTAGAATAGAGCACTGGGTCCTAGCAGAACCAAAGTCCATCTTTAGAGAAGGGGTGTGACAGCAAAGGGGAAGAGAGAAGGATCAGACCCATCATCCTCTGGCTTGCAGAAGGCAACAACAGTGGGTGGAGTGAGCCGGCTGACGGACACCAGCAAGTACACCGGCACCCACAAGGAGCGCTTTGACGAGAGTGGCAAAGGCAAAGGCATCGCAGGACGGGAAGAGATGACCGACAAGTCAGGCTATGTGAGTGGCTACAAGGGTGCTGGCACCTATGATAAGAAGAGCAGCAAATGAGAAGTAGCCTCAACAACTAGGGTCAGTTAGTCCTCAACCCAGCATCTTACACACCACGGAGGAGCGTAGGGAACAATAAACATCTGTGTGTGCATCAGCCAATGAGCTCTGTCTTTCCTTCAGAGAGAGGGATAGATAGACCCACTGGTGCAGAGAGAAGAGAAGACCCCAGGAGTCAGGGTTTTGAGTTCTGCACCCTTTCTCTAGTTAACCTCATGCCTCCCAGCCCTAGGTTAGCATTCCCCTCTACAACTGCGTCTAAGAACAGAGCTGAGGAATATATTTGGGGATAAGAGATAAACCAGATGCGGAGGCAAAAGCATTTGCTCCTTGCACTCATACATTTCTGGTATCCACCCTTCTTATCTCCCAAAGGGAAGTGGCAATTCCCGATTGGACCTAGTATGCCCAGACACCACTTGTTAGACCCCTCCCTGTCCCTCCACCTCCCTCCCCTGTTGTAGCCCAGGTGGTGTTGGAGACATGGAACAGAAAATCCCAGTGACTGCTAAGGGTAGCCCAGGAAGATGGCCAGAGGTGAGTGCCTCCAGGACTCCCAGAGCAGGAGTGCTTGTGTGCCGAAGAAAAAGGAATGAAATCAGAATGGCTTCAGATATATTTCTATATTTTTATTTTGGAATGATTATAGATTCACAGGAAGATTGCAAAAATAGTACAGAGGGGTCCAACATACCCTTCACCCAGTTTCATCCAGTGGTTATATCTTCTATAACTCGAGGTGTGGTTTTAAAACCTTCTGTGACCACAGCGAGGCTCACCTCACACCTGTCTTGTCAGTGGCAGATCCTGTAACCGGAGGGGGGGCGGGTTGTCAGGAAGAGCTTTGGGAAGGAAAGGGATGCAGTCATCTTGGGGGTAACAGGTCAGAGAAGATCATTTGAAACTCCAGTGAGCCACAGTGAGAAGAATGGAAGGAAAAGAAGTCAGAGAGAGGAATACAGGGAGACTAAAGGAGGGGAGTGTAGGGGAGAAACTACCCTGGGCTCTGTGGTAGAAGGAGAGAAGAAAGAAGAGGTTACATGGAGAGAAGAGCAATGATTTCGTAGAGAGGAACAGACTGGGGACTGAGGGGCATTCTGGACAAGTGAGGCTAGAAAGACTCTAAGGGTCTTGGGGAGGACCTCTAGCTAGAGGTACCTACCATGTAGGTGAGTGAGTGGAGAGAATCATAAGGGAGATGGGGACAGCTGAGGAGAGAAGGGTAGTGGGGATGGGGAGTTGAGACATGGAGCTGGGTGCCTGTTGTCATGGTGTGAGCTGAGGCTCTGGGCCTCCATCCAGGATTCAGGATCTGGCCCAGTGGAAGGACAGTCACTGCCAACTGGACACAGTCAGCTTCTTGGGTGGGTAAGGCCGTCTGTGGGAGAAGGAAGATGACAGGGGAAGAGAGGAGGTAAACAAGTTGGAAAGGGTCTACAAGGCAGTATGAATTTGCATGGTGACTGAAGCTCTGGACATTTGTCCTACTTCCCTGGTCTCTTGGGAGGGGGCTCTGCCTGCCTTTGAAGTCAGGGAGGAAGCCTTGTATCAGAAATCAGAGGTTTGGGAATGGGAACAGGCTGGTGTATGGTGGCAGTAGGGGGTAGTTCAAATCGAAAGCTTCCCTTTCCTAGTAGACACCAATGATACCTATCGGTTCCGCATCACGCTTTCCGGAACAGAGCAGGTAGAGCCTTTGGTTGGTTAGGGTGCTGTTGTAGTGGCAGCTGGTGGGCAGCTGATTAGGGGCCAGAGAACAGATCGTGATGGGGAAGGAGTCCTCTGTGAATGTACAGTATTCGTTGTAATTCTCACAGAAACTCTCACTGTACTTGCAGAATTTCTGGACTTCTCTCCAGGGGGCATGCACCATATAATGGATTTGCGGGCAATCCCAGCTCTTCTGCTTTCTGCCCCGTACATAGGCCATGAGACCATTACAGTAGCCCTGGAAACCCTTTGGGTAGTGCACCCTGGGATAATCGACGTGTAGCATGTGGAAGTCCTTGATGGCAATCTGCATCTCGATGTCCACAACCAGAGCTGGCCCGAAAGCAAGCTGGAGAAACACAAGCCGGGCCACAGCTACTGCCATTCCTCCTGCTGGTAGAGTTAAGGTGGTTGGAGGCAGAGGTGGGCCTAGAGTGGCTGTCTGCCCCTTCCCACAGTCTCCAACGTCCCCGCAGCCTTCCCCTATACCCTAAGAGCTGTACTGTATTTCAAATATCACCTAGCCCAAGTCCTCATGCCCCAGAGAGAGGAGACACTTGCTGGTTATCCACCTTATATTAGCCATTCCCCCCACTCCCTTGGTCCACCTCGGGGTCTCAGCCTCAGCCAGTCCATGAGCTGTAACACTTACAGAAGAAGAGGTCCAACTGGTCCTTGGGCGAGTGACTCTTCCCAATCATCCCTGGCTCTGGTCAACCTTTCTGGTAAAAAAAATGCAAAGGGGACAGAAGAAACAGGCTGAAGCACAATTCTCTGACTGCTCTGGAGAAAAGGCAGGAGCTGGAAGACCAGTGGGACAGGAGCAGGAATTCTTGTCTGGAGCCAAAGACAGCCCAAAGGTGAGAAGAGGCCAGAAATTTCTAGATAAAGACCAGTCTGGGAGGAGGGCACGTCCCCTAAGTTTGAAGAGCCCCTGGACTGAGGGGGTTGGGTGGGTGGGAGGATAGGGACATTGCTGTCTGGTCCCCTCCTTTCTGCTGTCATCGGAACACTTAGTTCCAGCTCCCTGCCAAAAGGCCCTACGTTCTTGGGCTTTCTTTGATGTTTTCTCTGGTCCATAGATCCCTCTTTGCGGAAAGGTGAGGAGGAAAACACTGTTGTGTTTCTGAGGAACAAGGTGCTGCTTGTTCCTAACCCTCAGAGAACAGAGGGTCTGCCGCTCATCCCACTCACTGTGGCCCAGGAGGCCACACATGCACGCAAGGGCCTCCCTCTAGAGTGCTGGGTTGAGAATCAGAGACCTCGTTGTGGACTCCCCACAGTCCCCATCATCACCTTCCCACCAGTCACAATCACACTGTCACACCAACTCCCTCACCTGTAACTTCAGGCCCTGTCAGAGTCAGAGCACTCCTGAAAACTGAAGCACACTGACCCTGAAGCCTCAGGCTTGTCAAGCTGGGTTACACAGGTTGAGTTGGACTTGAGGAAGTATGGGCCATCTGAGTCCAGAGAATCAGACTCTCAATGTAGTTTGTCATGCTGGGAAAGGGCCGGACTCCTCTTTTCGTCAATACCTGCCCCTTCATCAGAACTAAAGAGTTAGTCCTCTAGAGCCTGCCAGCCACTGTCCTTGACTTCCACATGCCTCTCAGCCTTGCCTCCCTGTAGGATGTTGTCTGGGTTGTGGGCCTCCTAGTAGGAAGAATGGGATGGAGGAGTCAGAACACAGACCCCTGAGTGTTCCAAGGCCAATGGGTAATTTGGGGGTGGTGCAGAGTACTGGAGGTGTCGGGATACTGGCATTGTTTGTTCATGTTCCCCCTAGCCTTGCTCTTCCTGGAAGCATGAACTGAAGTCCAAAACTGAACCCATCCTCCCCACAACTTGCTTCTCCTCCTGTATTGTCTGTCTCTGTTTCCTCTGTTACAGGTGATCCTAGACCCCTCATTCTCCCTGACCCCACCTGTGGTTGCAAGGTGGGTAAGAGCAAGGCTTTTGAGTAAAACAGACCAGAAATCCTGGCTGAATCCTTGCTTTGCTGCTTACAGGCTGTGTATCTCCAATCTAAGTTTGCTAAAACACTATCAGCTTCAATTTTTCATCTACTAATAGGGGTAATACTTTATATACCTCACGGCAGTATTAGAATTCATTAAGATGTATATCAAGAGCTTGTAGCTCAGTGCCTGGCACATGGTGAGTACTTAATATGAGCATGAGCCCATCAGTCCCACAGTCCTGACAGTCTTATCTAAGACTAAGAACCTGTCCCTTCCATCCCTATCTCTGCCCCTCCTCAGGCTCCCCCCTTTCCTGGACACCACATGCTCTCCATCTCCAGTAAGGCTCTGCGTCTCATAGGACAGACAGAAGGCTCTCCATGACCTGACCCCTGCCATGTCTCCAACTGCATACCCATCCCCATCTGTTTCCCCCTTTGTGTCACCCTCCACCTCCTTGTCCTTGTTCATGTCTCCTCCTTTACCCCTGATACTGTTCCTCTCCTCCTCCCACTCTTGCCCCCATCACCTCCACTGAGCTCGCTCACGTGAAGACTCAACCCAGAGATCCTGTTTAAGAAGCCTCTGCTTGGAAGACCTCCCCAGGGAAGTGTGCACAGCCAAGCGAGTGAAGGAAAAGCCTACACGGGCAGGTGCCTCGCCTGTATCCTTCAGTCTGGGTCTACAAGCCAGCACCAAGTGGGAGCCATGCAGGGTGGCTCCTGAGACTGGCTGACTCATATCTTTGTTGTGAGGAAGTCTGCTGCTGTGGTCCCCACCTCAAAGCATGCCTCCTCTTCCCTATTTGCTCAAGGCTGCAGCTTCCCTGAGAAGAGGAAAGGGCTTGTCATGGCCCTTGGTCATCTTCTTCATTCATTACCCACCTATCACCACTCACCTCTGCACACACAGTTACAGAAATGGAACAGCACATTATAGAGGAGAGGCTTTGGTACCTGATATAGATAACCTACGGAATTTCTGCCTCCTCATCTATAAAATGAGACTAATACCTTTCTTGCCTCATAAGACTACAAGAATAAAGTGAGATGGTCATCATGAACATGACTTTCAACCATTACACAGTGTATAAACAATTATAACTGGATATTATCTCCTAGGTTCTACACCAACTCACTTTTTTCCCCAACTCCATATTGGCAAAGCCCCTTATATTCCCCAAATGATCCAAGTGACCTCCCCCCATCCCCGCTCTGCCAGTGTAGAGCCCCCTCTGACACCTGACTTAAGCTTCATCTTCATGAAGCTTTCTATTATTAGTCAGGCCCTGTGTGGATTACCTTAAGATTTTTTGAACTTAGTTTTTAGTTGTTAAATACCCTCTGAAAAGCAGTATGACAAACATTGGGGCAATACAAAGGTAAATAAAACAGCTCCAGCCCAGATTACATTTATAATGCAGCAGGAAAGACACACATATAAGCATATGTTACAAAGGCCTCGGAAAGGGGGTGAATGTATGATGGGCCTTCAGGTTCCAGACTGTAGTTCTAGAGGCCCGGTCTTTATTTATTTTTTTTTTTAATTTTTTTTTCAACGTTTATTTATTTTTGGGACAGAGAGAGACAGAGCATGAATGGGGGAGGGGGCAGAGAGAGAGGGAGACACAGAATCGGAAACAGGCTCCAGGCTCTGAGCCATCAGCCCAGCGCCTGACGTGGGGCTCGAACTCACGGACCGCGAGATCGTGACCTGGTTGAAGTCGGACGCTTAACCGACTGCGCCACCCAGGCGCCCCAAGGCCCGGTCTTTAAAATCCTGTCCTCGAGGTGCTGATCCATAGCCCTGCTGCTTCCACGTTGACATCCTTGTCATGGTTTCATCTGCTCCCTCAGCCTGAGATTTGTGGAATTCATTGCCTCAGTACTCCGGGCTTTACATCCACGAGAATTCCCCTAGAGATGAAGAAACTAAGTTTGAGAGAGAAAGAGTAGTTTGCTCAAGGTCGTATGTCCAATTTAGTAGTTCTCAACGAGGGGAAGGCAATTTGGTCATTTCTGGGGACATGTTTGATGGTCACAACCGGAAGGGGCTACTGGCATCTAGTGGGTAAGAGGCCAGGGGATGCCTCTAAACATCCACGGTTGCACAAGACAGCTCCCACAACAAAGAATTATCAAGATCAAAATGTAAATAGTGCCGAGGTTGAGAAACCCTTGTCTGGGGCACCTGGCTGGCTCAGTCAGAAGAGCATGTGACTCTTGACCTTGGGGTTGTGAATTCAAGACCCACGTTGGGTGTAAAGATTACTTTCAAAAAATAAACTTAAAAAAATAGAAAAGAAAACCTTGGTCCAATGAGTGAATCCGATTTTCTAACAATGGCAGAATTACTTATACTTCATATATTGAAAAGGGTCAGTAAATAGGCAGACCTTGGAAATGTTTTTGTTAGATTTTGCTTTCAGTGGTGCTGGGTTTTTCTGCCAGCAAAAGGGGCACTGAGAGTTCACCGTTGAAATAACTTTGAGTCATTTTTCCTGTCAAGGTGACTCTCTGCCTGTAGTCTTCTACACATTCTCTCCTACCTCCTCTCCTTAGTGGTAAGCATTTCTAGAACAGCTGGCTAGAGTGGCAGGTTCAACGGTGATTCCCTGGGATGAGAGGAACCCCAAGATTCTGCCCAAAGTGAGCTCACCACAATCAGTAATGTCACTGTTTGCCCTGTCCACCCAAATTCCTCCAACAAGCAGACCAGGTCATGGGCGCTTCCTGGGTTGTCCTTGAACCCAAAGGGATCACTTCATGCATCTCAACCTTCTTGTCATTCCTTCACCTCAGCCCCAGGGTTGAAGTCCAGGAGCTGCCTTGTCAGTTCCTCCATCTGCCAACCAATGCTGCAGGTTACTGGGGGTCCCACGCATGACTGGGGTCATCCAGGGGCCGAATGAATGCCTTCTAACCCAGAGATCAAATCAGTTAAGATCACTTATATGCAAGGCACTAAGCTACACCACTGTGAGAAGTACAAAAGAAGTATAACAGATGGTCCTTGTCTTCTGGAGATTGATAGTCTAAACTGGAGGAAAATGATAAATGTGAAGAAATAACCAATGATTTAAGGCAGAAAAGTACACATCTCGAAGACAGTAACTGTAGGAATTTATTTTTAAATGTTTACTTATTTTTTGAGAGAGTGGGGCGGGCGGGGGGTGGGGGGCAGAGAGAGATGGAGACAGAGGACCCGAAGCAGTCCCCATACTGTCAACGCAGAGCCTGATGCGGGGCTCGAACTCATGAAACTGTGAGCCCGTGACCTGAGCCCAAGTAGGAAGTTCAACTGACTGAGCCACCCAGGTGCCCCTAACTGTAGGAATTTAGAGGTGAGAAAGATCCCTCTGAATTGGGAAGATCAGAGCAAATTTTCTGTGTGAGAGGAGGGTCATCCTGGGACCTCGGGATGCATCTCAAGGAACAGTCAATAATTAAACCGAGATAAAGAAGATTATGAAAGGTATGTTTAAGAAAATAGACAAAACCAGCTTGGCTAGAATTGAGGCTCTCGGTGGAAGAGAAGTCAGAGACAAAGTTCGAAAGATGGGTTTGCCAAATTGTGGCAGGCCTTGAATACCAGGCTGCAGAATTTGAATCTTATTCTGCAGATAAAGGGAGAACTGCCAGTGGCTCCCGAGATAGAGTGACCTAATGAGGCCTCTCAACCCCGGAGCAGGTCTCCCTCTCCTACATCCCAGCTTGTCTAAAAGCATTGGTTTGGGAGCTATAAAGATTCCCACCTCTGTCAGTACCGTGCCGCCTCCAGATCCACAGCTGTTCCAGGAAAGGTCATGAGAATTCAAAGACCCAAAGCAAGTCCCACATCTGACCCTAACTTACTGTTTGTTTCACTTTCCCTGTCTACAGAAAT